GGGTCCCGCTCTGCACCCACCCCGGTCCCATCCTGCCCCAGAACCTGCTGCTCACCAGGCGCCACCCAGGCTCAACTGGTGACCTCCCGGGGACCCCACGTGTCCCCTGTGGAGACAGCTGACAGAGGAGGCAAACCTGGGCCCTGAGCCACCTCTGCCCATCTGCGTGGGCCATTCTCTGTCTTCAGCAGCTTGATGGAGAAGCTCCACACACCACGCAACTCGCCCGTTTAACAGCTCAACCACACCCCAGCAGAACTGTGGAGCCAACTCCCACCTGATTCCAGAACATTCCGTCACCCCACAGGGAAGCCTGTCCCCATGAGCGGCCTCTGTCCTACGGAGCAGCCCTGCACCCACAGGGCCATGTCCAACTCTGGACTCCCCTGTCCTGGGCCCTCCTGTCACTGGGCCACACGCCGTGCCCTGTGTGTCTGGCTGTCACAGAGCACCAGGTCCTCAGGACCCTCCACGCTGCGGCTGGGTCACCCGCTCCTGCCCTGAGGCCACTCCAGGGGCATGGCCAGGTGTGTCCCTTCCCCTGTGGATGGACACCCGGGCTGCCCCACTCTGACGTCACAGTCGTGTTTTGTTCTGTGTGCTGTGGGGGCTGAATCCAGGGGGCTCTGCCACCAGCTGCTCCCCAGAACTTTCACTCTGAGCAGGACCTTGCTAAGTGGCAGAGACTGGCCTGCGGCTCGCACCCTGCCACAGTGGCCAGGGTGACAGGTGCCTGGCACTTCTGGGAGCCTGAGATACTTAAAAATCAAATGTCAGAGCTGGGTGCGGTGGTGCACACCTGTCATCCCAGGAGTTTGGGAGGCTGAGGCGGGAGGATTCAGAGTTCAAAACCAGCCTCAGCCACTCAGGAGACTCCGTGCAACTTAGCCACACCTGGTCTCAAAAGAATGATTTTCGAAAACCTGAAATGGGTTGAGGCTGTAGCTCAGGGGTAAAAAAGAAAAGAAAAGGGACGTTGGAAGAATTCTGCTGCTGCGGTTCCTGCTGAGTGCCCTCTCTGATTCAGGGCTCACTGGATGGACCGGGCTTGTTCTTCCCCTCAGCCTCTCCCTGCAGCCAGGCGCTCGCTTGGGGACACGGGATTTTCCCTTGTGGGGGGTGTCCTGGGTACTACAGGGTACCGGGCACTGTCCCCGGCCTCCGTCCACCCTGGTCAGCAGTTCTTCAGTTATGATCATCATCAGTGTCCCCAGATGCCACCCAGTGTCCCTGGGGGCAGTGCTGCCCCTGATTTAGAGCCACTGCCTTGGGGGAAAAATCCCCTTGACCCAGCTGGGCAGGAGGAGGGAGGGGTGGGGGCCTCGGGGGTCTCCCCTGGCTCTGTGTCCCGCCTGTCCCCTTCCTGTCAGGAGACAGGCGGCCATATCCCCTGGGAGGCCCGGCGCCACTCCCGGCCCCACACGGCGTCTCTGCAGCTGAGCTGGACCCGGGCAGCCACTTCTGCGGAGGCACATCATCCACCCCAGCTTGTGCTGCCCGCTGCCCGCTGCCCGCAGGACATGGGAGTTCCCGAGCTCCAGCACAGGCAGGGCCTCCCCACCCTCGTGCCCTTGTTGTAGCCTCCGCCCGCGGCCTGCTCCTCCGCTCCAGAGGGTCAGCTACTGATCTCAGGCGGCGCGGCCCTCATATTGGCAGCGGTGGGGCGGCCCCTGGAGTTCTGGGACTGGGAGTGGGGGACCAGTGGACGCCCGTGGAGAGAAGGCGTGCTGACCTCCCCAGCCCCCGACACCTGGTGAGCGCGGTGCTCGGGCGCAGACCTGCAGAGCCCGGAGCCCACGGAGCCGCGGCCCAGCATCAGCCAGGTCTTCCAGAACAAGACGTGCTGCTCATCCAGGTGGGCAGGCTGCCTCCCGCTGCGAGCTTTCATTGAGCACCTACTGTGTGCTCCACCTGGCCCTGTGGAGCTTTGGTCTCAGTCCCCTGCACACGTGGCTGCAGGACTCACAGGGCCTTCTGCCCAGCCTTCGTCCAGGGCCAGGGTACTGCTCCCCCATACCCCACCTCCTCAGCAAAATGGAGATCAATCCTGTGGAATCAGTCACCCCTAGAGCCTGGTACTTACAGGGGCAGGCCTACCACGGGCACTCAACCTGTGCTCTGTGAAGAATGGAGGCCCTTGCGGCCTGGGTGGGGCCGGGTACCAGGGCCTCCCTGGGCCTGAGCTCCCCAGCTGGACTGTCCCGCCTCCCTGGGCGCAGAGGTGGCCGTGGCGCCACTTCCCCGGCAGGACCAGCTGCTGACCCAGGGCACCTAGTGCCTGGCCATGGGATAGGGCCGCTTGGGTACCCGCGCGCCGACGCCCCGCGCCCTGCGGGAGCTCAACACGACCGTGGTCACCTTCCTGTGCACGCTGGCGCCCCGCTGCATCTGCTTCCTACGTCCTGGGCCGGCTCCCACGCCCCCCTCGCTGTGCTGCCCCGAGGGGCTTCCACCGGAATCCAGCGGCCCAGGTATCCAGCAGGAGGCCGCTGCCCCCAGGCCCTGTCCCCACACAGCCTCATCCTCAGCACCTCCCACTGGCCTCGGGCACTGACCACCGCCCGTTCCTCCCAGGGAGACTGGCCCCCGGGTCTGCAAGGCGTCCTCCAGGGCGGGGACTCCTTCGTGATCCGGGAATGTGCCACCCGCCAGTAACCCGACTTCTTCGCAGGTGTGTCCCTGTACGTGGACTGGATCCATATGGTGCTGCCCGGCCAAGGGGCTCCTGCAGCCCCTGGGCGGCCTCCTGCCACGGCCGGCAGCTGGCCCTAAGGAAGGACTCTGGGCTGAGGCCTTTCCAAAGGCCCCTCCTCAGAACCCTGGTCCACAGAGAGTCTGGCAGCTCCCCACGGGTTTCCGCCCCCATGGGGCTCTGGGGAACCAGGCCACGGGGCTCCCAGCTCCGGTGACACCAATAAAAGTTAAAAGTCCCACCGCCTCCTGTCCTTTCCTCATCTGGAAAACGGGGCCACCTCAGACACCCTGGGGCCTGGGGTGCTGGTCCAGCTCCAGCAGACAGCAAGGTCCCCTGGGAGGGCAGTGCGGGAGCCAGTGTCAGGCTGTGCATGGAAACGGAAATGGGCTGAGGCAGGGACGGCCAGTACCAAGGCCCTGCGGTGCCAGAACTGGGTCTTGCAGTGGCTGGAGTGGAGCTGCAGGGTCAGGGCGGGAGCGGGGGGCCACCCCCTGGGCCTGCACAGCAGTGGTCAGGGGACTCTACCTCTCATTAGAGGGGCAGGCAGCGGGGGTTCCCTTGGTGGCAGCATGAGAATGGACGGGGTGAGCTCCCGGGGGAGCAGTGAGGTCAACGCCGAGAGCCTAAGTCGGGGAACGACCTCGCGGGGAGCCCTGCAGGGGAGCCGGCCCGCGCCGCGCACCGTCGCGCCTGCCTCCGAGGCGCGCTCTGCCGCCCCCTGGTGGCGCATGCCGACCCAGGCGTGGGGAGAACCAGACCTGTCCCCGTTGGGGCTCTGGAAACGCTCCTTGACCACCCAGCACAGGAGCGGCCACTGTTTACAGGACCAAGTCCGGGCAGAGCGGTGCTGGTCCGGGTGCCCGCGGTGGGTGTCCGGGGACTGCAGCGGTTTCTATGGGAGCTTCAGAGGGACTGTCAGTGCCCAGCACAGGGTTGCCCAGGGTCCCTGGAGGAGCCCCTAGGAGGGTGGCCTGGGAGAAACGGTGTTCTGCGGGTGCCCGGGTCAACAGTGACTCAGGAGTGTTCTGGGGGAAGTGCGGCTTGGCCCAGAGGGGGTTGGCTGGGGTCTAGCCCATTGCTAGGGACCTGCCAAGGCAGTAGAACCCGGAACGAGGCACATACAGGAAACGGGAGGCTGGCACAGGAGGCTGGGGCCTCGCCAGGGACAGTCACTCTCTAAGCGTAGCCCGGTCTCCTTCTCTGTCCTGAACTCACCACCTGCAGCCTCCAGCAGCCCCACGCTGTGGGGACCCCACCCTCCTATGACAAGGGGCAGCTCACAGTGGGGTCCCTGGGCTGGGGTGTGCTCAGTGTGGATGCCCATCCGGCCTCTGTGAGGCCCTGGAGAAGGGGGGGAGAGAGAGAGAGAGGGAGGAGAGAGAGGAGGAGAGGGAGAGAGAGAGGAGAGAGGTGAGGGAGAGAGAGAGGAGGAGAGAGAGGAGAGAGGGAGGGAGAGAGAGCGGGAGAGAGAGAGGAGGAGAGGGAGAGAGGAGGAGAGAGGAGAGGAGGAGAGGAGGAGGCAGAGGAGAGGGAGAAGGAGAGAGAGGGAGGGAGAGAGGAGGAGAGAGAGGAGGAGAGGGAGAGAGAGAGGAGAGAGAAGAGGGAGAGAGAGAGGAGAGAGAGGGAGGGA